GTCCTGCAGTGGACGTAGTCAGGCTGATGATGATGATGATGATGATGATGATATATATATATATATATATAGGGAAACTGTGCCATCAGAATCCAACCTCAAATCAAATCCACCCCCCCTGCTATGGCCTCAGCGGCTCTGCATTGTGCAGATAGTGGCTTGTGGGAACGCGTGGTTCGAGCTAGTATACCGAAAAATAAACGTACGATTTCTAGATATACACGTGAATATCCGCTTCCGCAGTCGTATATCAACCAAATTCGGGCAATAACGTAACCCTATCAAGCGTGTTACAATGCATTATTTTGCTAGAGGCGTGGGCCGGGAATGAAAAAAAAAAAAAAAGGCGTGTCATGCGGCATCGTATTAACAAGATTTCACGGCACATGACAGTCAAAACTTGCCTGGTCTAGTGGAGACTGGGACGGAAGCTTCGTCCGGACGTGCGGCCTTTGGCATGTTCAGCGGAAAAGAAAAAGTGTCCGCCGCTGTCTGCGTACCAGTCGCTGCCGGGTCGCACTGCTCCGTGCCCTAGCCAGACCACTGAGCCAGTCCGAAAGGTATGCCCATTGTTCGTCGTTAAGCGTAACCATGAGCCCTCGGCGAAACGCCGATCCGCGGGAGAGTGGCGCGGAGGAGGCGCATGCTGGGTGACATTCGAATCGACGTCCCGGGGGCCGTATTGGAGCATGTGTCGATTAGGTGTTTTAGTGTTTGTCGACTCTTGCTGGACTGATACCGCCTTTCGCGCATATTTAGTTGCAAAATAAAGTTTTGAACAGACTGCTAGCAGCAACGTTTGCACACGAGAAACGTTGGCTAGCCGTGAATTCTGTCCATCCTGTGGCAAGACCCTGCCCCCCCCCCCCCCCCTCGGTTCACACATGCTTTGCAGCTTATGTATGTTTATTTTGACTGCACTTTTCGGAAATTTACTCAGTAATAGTATTTTCCTCATTACTGCTTTCGAAGCTTATTTTCTTAATATAGCGTGAGAGCGCATTTTGTTGTATATAGCATGCAGTATTGCATACATTCGTTTCCTTTAGATTGTACATTTAGTTTTCTGTTACTCTTTCTTTATTTTTATGTCTTCACCTAGAGAGTAAAGGCCTTGTCACGAAGCTATCACCATTGTAATTCGTTGGTGTTGCCACTCTGTTTCCAGTGAGGCAGCAAAAGGAAATGTATGCCGCAGTCCGCTTTCAGCGCCTATACGAACAGGCGCGCTTATGAGGTGTGGCACTTGACAGCTCATTTATGGTGAATAGCTTCTAATGGAGGCTGAAAGCAAGGCATGTGCAGTGCCGCGGTTACAACTACGTATTGTCCACTTAGACAATGGACCCGTACTCCATACAAGAGAACTCTCTCACTGGGGCAGTTTTGCAGTAACTCTGTGCGCTCTGTTAAACCTTTGAGATTATTACCTCCTAAGTTGAAGGGATCGTTACATGCATTTCCACTAGAAACAAAAAAAAAAGCTCTGCATCACCACAGTCCGCATCAGCTGATTTCAAACCTGCATTATGCCTACAGGCTGTGAAAAAGGCTGCTTTAGTTAACGCAGCGCCTGTGGCCTCCAAGCTTACGCTCGCGACAAAATGCAGGATTGAAAAAGCCCGCCTTTTTTGGCACAAAGCGTTACCTAACCAAAAGGTGCCGCCATCTCTTGGCGGCCAGTCGAACTTTTAGTCTGCCCCTCTCTTTCCTCTTTTGACCCACTGAATTCGTCCACGGTACGGCGGGTGGTGCCAACACCACCTAGATAAAATGAGCTAGAATCTAGCTCACCTTAACCTAGACTACAGATTGGCGGTGCACTAGTATTCCCCCCCCCCCCCCTCCTCGCACCTCCTCGGCTCGTTGTAGCGTACTTCCTGCCCTATCTATTGAAATCTTGCCGAGACTCGTGGTTCCATTCAAAAGCGAGCCGGGCGAGCAATCCTTTCGCTTGCACATGAGCCCTCGCTTAGAGAAGACACAGCCGCGTTTGCGAGCGGTTCTTCCTGTACGAGTGTTTATTAACTCATTGAAACTCGTTTGATGACCGACAAGATTACCGCGAGTTTCTCACCAGCTTGGTTTTCCCAGCTGGCAAGTGCTTGCCCAATAGGTGCGGGATATTAACACGCACGGGAGATTATAACGCGTATAGCTATAGTCTACTATATTTCAAAAACAAACAAACGTATCACACTTGTAAGCGTTTATACATTTAAAGAAAAAAAAAAACATCTCTAATTGTAGACATTCTGAACAGTTTCAGAGAAATACCAACCCTGGAAGTGCACCTTTCCAAATACATGAGGATTTAAAGGGTAGTAAACACTACCTAATTAATGCGTCACAGGGGATGCAAGTTCACCGTTTGCTTAGTTGTGTGATGAGAACGACAGAAAACGAGGCCGAAAGCAGTGTCATCTTAAGCGTTTTTACCGATAACGAAGCGATAACAATGTCTGGCGAGGCTTTGGAATTGGGTCATCATTGACTGACCTGCTGGCGAAACCCAGATCCAGAACGCTGTAAATTGGGCCCTTCTATAGGACTCAGTTGATTCCAAATTATAACTGAATAAAAAAAAAAAAAAACACTACGTGAAGAAAAAAAAAATTATGGAGGTGCGGGGTATCGATCCCCGTACCTCTCGCATGCTAAGCGAGCGCTCTACCATCTGAGCTACACCCCCTTTTTTTTTTTTTTTTCCTTTATTTACCTGAGCTACACCCCTAACGGATCTTTCGGGAGAATTTGTTCCTATATAAAGGTGTCATAAAAAAAAGTTTTCTTGGTGTGACAGAGGTGTGGCAGTTTGGGCTAGTTCGTATGACATGACAATAGTTATAGCGCGAGAACAGAACGACATCCTGATCGGGCTATATTGCTCTGTCGCGATCAGCAGTGACGACAGCGTGACACCGGTATTTAGAATTTTACGAAGGTCGTGTCCTTCTTTTCTCTTTGTCGTCGTTCTGTTCTCGCGCTGTAACTATCGTCATGGCGTGACACGTCACGGAAGAAAATTCATCATGTTACTACATGGTTACTTTTGATCACGATCGAAGTTCTCGATCCCGATTGGCTCTCATACGCAAGCTACATACGGGAGCCAATCACCGTTGGGAACTTTGATCCTGATCGGGCTATACATATTGCTCTATCGCGATCAGCAGTGACGACAGCGTGACACCGGTATTTACAATTTTACGAAGGTCATGTGGTTGGTGCAGAACGTTCCTTATTAGTAGTTCGCGGGAAATTTGAATACCAAGCACTCTTTGGAAGTCTTGCGACGGAGCTTCGGTTTTGTGTGGGCCAGGGAGTTTTGTTTGCTAAAACGGTGCATGAATAAGACTAAAACGGGAACGTCTGATCACAGCAACATCTATCACCTAGGGGTGTAGTTTGCGCATACAGGCGTTTGCATACAGGCGTGGACGGCGAGCCCGGTTACCCATGTGCCGGGGGCAAGGGTAGGCTGTAGTAGCTCTAGCAAGGGCGACTTAGAGAGCCTACATACGCAACGACGAACAAAACGACGACACAGAGACGCGCTATAACTATCGTCATGCCATACCAACTAGCCCAAGCAGCCACACTTCTAAGCAACGACGAAGGCGCGGCGCGGCGTATGTAGGCTCCTTAGGCCGACTCTAGCTACGGCGCCCTCTGGGGAAAAGAGGAGAAGGGGGAAGGGGAAGTTGGAAGCGCATTTTTTCTACCCTCACCCAACCCCTCATTAATTTTTCAGGAAAAAAATGTACACGGTAATGGTGTCTGTTTCGAGTTTGGAAATGCGGATAGTCATTCGCACGCGCTTCATATATTTCATAAAATGCATTGCCAAGTCAAGTAATCATCCAGCGTTATGGCACGTAACGCGCAAGCACTAGATATTTACGCGGATACACCGTATATGTACGTCGTATTCGTTCGTTCGTTTTTCTTTTTTCTTTCGGCAATGCGCTTGAACTGGTCTTTTACCCTTTTCAGCTCGTTTCAAACTAATTAAGGGACGATGCGCGTGGTAGAGGTCATTGGAAATGATTTAGACCATGTGGGCATCCACCATTTGCCGGCTAAATTTGTTCCACACACGAAGTATTCTGTTGAATGAACCTAGGGTACGTAAGCTTCCAATTTCGACCATAGCCATTTGACTAACTTGTTTTGTGTGCTTTCTTCAATTAACAGTTTGTACCAAACGACACTTGCCCTCTTCATTCCTGGGAAAACGCTAAGATGGGCACTGAATTAAGCCTCTGGGCCAAAACCATGGTAGAATAGCGCTTTTGCAATCCGCCAGTCTGAATACACTGCTGGCGCTATATCAGGTACTGAACACCCCGACACCGCACGACTAGTGATTGAGAACGTAGATATAAAGACTGTGGAGTGCAAAGTATATTGTTTCCAGATCTTAAAGCATTTCACCGGAATTAAGCAAGTGCGTTTTCAGGCGCACCTTTTATCCAGAATTAATCCTGAGCGCGCTGTCTCGACACTGATGCTGTACGATGTATACGGCCTCGTGATTAATTCTTAATCTCGGTAAACCACAAAAGGAATTCTGCACATTTTCACAACTTAGGTACGCACGGGATTGGGGTTTCGAGCACTCCAAATGCGAAGGACATGTTGCATATTTGCAGTACTTACCTGAATTCCTTGAAAATGCAGTGTTCCTTCACCTACCACCATTCGTCTACGTAAACGTATCGAGACGATAAGTCATTTCACGCGCTTACAGCGGCACAGATGCGTCTTCGAGTCACCTATAGCCTTGGCCCAGTTTTAGTTTGTGCTGTACGAGAAGGGTCAATTTATTGCTCAATTCGAACTTCGCTATGTTTAACTCAGTGAGTGTACAAGAGTATTGATCGCTTTATACGACTGAACAAAAGCGTTGGTTCCTGTTTAAATAAATAAATAGAACTGTTACTCTATTTGTAATTTCTTGCCTGATATGCAAACCAATTCAAATAACAGAGCCCACATTTTCGTTAATGTAACTTTATTAAACCAGCAGAGGTCACGAAGAACAACAACAACACAGAGAAGACTCCGGGGTTCAGATAGTCGATCACAAAAAAAAAAAAAAAAAAAACCATCTGTAGGTCTGTCATCGCGCGTCGCAGAGAGCCCGAGCCCGGCTGACCTCGACTGTTTGCGCAAGCTGACAAGTTTCCCACGACGCCCTCTCGGGGTTTCGATTGCACAAGCTTGTGAAAGACATCCATCACACTCGCAAATTAAAGGCAGACGTATACGCAGTCCAAGCACCGCGAGCTCTTGACAACTGTTACGACATACATATTTTATTTGAGCGATAACTTCAGTATAGGGGGAAGGGGGGGGGGGACTACACCTACGATAACGGCGAATCAACTGAAATTAGGAATTAGACTTAGCTCACACGCTGCTTAAGTAGCACGTTTGCAATTGCGAGCATGATGTCCCCTTTGGCACGAAACCCGAGACTGAAGCTCCGGGTTCAAGATATGTGCTCCTCAAACTTCTTTTCCCCAGCTTTGCTTTCTTTTCCCTACAATGCTTTCTGCACGTCAAGGTGCTTATAGTGCAGGACGTACATTTCGAAATGGGTGCTATTTTACGCTCGCAATCCCGAACAACGCACATCAAATTTTCGCACTTTTTACCTGTGCATTAATAGAAGCAACCAATTAGAAATTTAAGATGACAGATTCACTTAAGTGTACCAGATGTTGTCGCAGAACTTTCCATTTCTGGCGCAGCTATGCTTTCTGACGAGATGCAACACCAATGCCATTGGGCTTTTAAATTAAAATTTTTTTTTGAGCCAGTAGGCAATGATAATTGGAACACCTTGTATATATGAACACAAACGGCATGGAAAGATACCTTAACTACGTATAACACATATTCCTTCAGTGTAATTGTTATTCCTAAGCAAGAGTATTATATATTACGTAAGTGTTATACATAAAAACTAGGTATATATAAGCTTATTTCCTTCTTTGGAACATACATTAAAATGAGATGAGCCCTGTACACACACGAGTGACGCAGCTGCTTGGCTGCTCCATTGGAACTTTGTCTTCATCCAACCGAACCCGCGCCCGCGCCCGATACTCGCAGGCGACCCGTGCGGCCGCTCGTGTATCACATTTCTATATGACCCGTCGAAAGGAACACACGCGAGAAAAAAATATATATATTTTTTTTTTGTTCCGGGTATCACGCAAAGCGCTTCGTCGGTGACGCTAAGTTACTTCGCAAGCACATATACACCCATAAACTGGCACACCTGCGTTCAAACTGCGTCACTGGTCCCACCACTTTTCACGGAATGTAATAAAAGTTCTCAAGGACGATAACCACAAATGGAGCAATGGACGTCTTGACGCTGATACTATACGGCTCGTTTACTATAGGACGGACGAATCAAAAATAGAGAGAGGGGGGGTGGGGAATGCCACGAACGCGAACTCTTCAAATATCATCTTACATTCTTGAATATTTGCAGGCCACATTGCGTGGCAGGACATCTGGACACGAGCGCGAGGCTAGAAATGATCGAACTATAGTGCAACGGATACGGGCGCACTAACACCGGAGTAAACGACGCTACTACAAGCCTCATAATGCTCACAATCTGGGGTCGGTCCAAGAGAGTTAGACTAGAAGCAACGTGGAAAGGAGGCAGAAATCGAGACTGCATGCCTAGCTCGTGGCGCTAACAAACGCAGATATACCAGCATTCTAGTGTACTGAAGGGGCCGCGCACAGTACATTACGCACTCTAAGAAAAGACCGAGTAAAAGGGGCGTCTTTTTGTCCTATAACGATAATCGTCACATATCTTGCGTAATTATCGCCGCGCGCCCAGTACTTTCAGGTCACGAACGACATGCGCGTTATCAGAGTGACATCGCGTTCCCGATATGAAAGTGGCCAGCTCTGAGCTTTCAAGAAAGGAAGCGCAAGCAAGCCGGATGACGATTATTGTTGTCGGACAAAAAAGACCCTTTTTACTCGATATTTTCGTAGAGCGCGGTTGCGCATTCGGCCCGCAGCAACCATTTACTCCTCCAGCTGGAGCGCTTTCAGGCAAAGCTCGACGTGCTCGGCCAAGCCCGGTTTGCCCGGGGCTCGAAGCAGGACGTGCCAGCGGGCGTCCAGGAAACGCGACGGCAGAACTGACGGCTGAACGTGCAGCTGTTCGGCGCGCAGCGCTCGATCCGGCTCGGCCTTGCGGTAGAAGAGCACCTTCTTCACCGGGTCGTCCTTGCCGCAGCCCCAGTGGATGTTGACCAGATCCACGACGAGGTCTTCCGCCTTCGGCTTGACGTGTTCCGGAAGCGCCGCCATGATGGCCGCGCGCATCGTCTCCTCGCTGCTGCCGACGCCGCGGTCGCTCTTGGAGACGCTGCCCAGGAAGCGGTACAGCGGACAGGGCCTGCGCGACCGGGTCTCCAGCGCCCTCCACAGCTCCTGCGCCCGTAGCACCTCGGGATGCTGCATGGCGTCGGCGCGGCGCACGGAGAGCTCGACCCAGGCGTCGGTTAGGGCGACGAAGGCTTCCACCCGCTGCGGGCTGGCGTCCGGCTGTCCGGCCTCGTGCGTCGTCCACCACAGTCGCAGACGGCCGCCGCCGTTGGGCGACGCCACCTTTTCGTCGGCCAGCTGCAGAGCGTCGCAGATCATGGCTTCGAATATGCTGATCATCTGGTGGTGATACACGTTGTTGTGCAAAGTGCTGCGCATGCGGAACATCTCGTACACGTTGTTGAGCTCCTTGTCGCGGAACGCGATGCGCGTGAAGCCCTCGTGCTCGACGACGCGCGCGCTGCCCACGAGCCGCTGGAACTGGAAGCCACAGGCCAGACCGACGGCGTGGCAGTCGCGCAAGTAGTAGTCCCATTTGTCCACGTCCAGTCCGGAGTCGCGGTTGTTGACCACTTGGAAGAGGAACCACCGGGAGGGTTCGACCCCATTCGTGTCACCCAGTATGAGAGCCTGCACGAACTTGACGTCGTCTTCCGTCAGGCCCTGACCGGGCCATTTCGCCTCCCATGCGCTGAACGTCCGGTCCAGTCCGTTCACGGAGACCAAGTGCGCGAGAATCTTGCAAGACATGGCCTCGTGTGTCCATCGAGGTTTCAGGCCCCTGTCACGCGCGCCGCGCCGGTAGAAGTGTTCCCAGAAGTGCGAGAATGGGCCGTGTCCGAGGTCGTGGCACAGGCCAGCCAATTCGAGGCACAGCAATTCTTTGTCGCCCAGCTTGAGCTCAGGCTGACAATCGCGCAGATGCGAGCCCAACAATCGAGCCAGATGAGCCGTGCCGAGGCTGTGCTCAAAGCGACTGTTCGAGGCACCCGGGTAAAGGTAGGCTACATGCCCCAGCTGGCGAATGTGCCGCAGCCTTTGGAACTCGGGAGTGTCGATCACCGCTACGGACACCGGGTGCAACGAAATTTGGCCGTGCACGGGATCCCAAAACACCTTCCGAGGAGGCAGCACGTCGGCGCGCAGGTCCACTGTCACCGTGTCCGTAGTCGCATCGGAGCGCTCACCACTTTCACTGCCGTCTGCGTTGCCCATCGCTTGACTGGCTCTCGCTTCAAAACAAATGCAAGCTCGTTTTCGCTGACGGATTGTTGTACGCGACGATCGCTAGCACTGTGCTCGTTAAGAAATGCCGGACTTGCGGAGAATCACAAAGGTTAACAGCCGCGAGAAGTGAAGCAGCTGCGACTTCGATACAACGGTAGCTAGCGCAGCAGTGCGAGTTTACCGGCCGTCTGCCCGCCTGCGACTAGCTTCTGTAGACGGATGGACGAATGATAGCACACCTGCTCAGTGGTGGGTAAATGAATGTGTTGCGTCCAATCTTCGCAAAAATACAGGAGAACGTTGTAAGGTGGCGCCATCTAGGCATATTGTTACACAGCTTAGTGAGCTTTCAAAAATGAACGCTAGGGTCACAACGCTGAGGAGCGAGGCGGGTAATTCAAACCATCACTATACCGAACAAGAGACCTCATGGGGGGAGTGATTCTTAAATAGGAAAAACGAAGAGAAAAGTGAGCCCCGCAACTATTTGCATCTAAGTGCGACACTTCAGCTAACTATGGAAGGAGATAAGGAGAGATTGAACAAATACATTGAGAAGTAATTATTGAGAAAGAGAAGGATTGGGACATAGTTAAAGGAGCCCGAGGACGGGGCACCATTCAGCGAGAGCTTCACGGCGTCAGAAAATGGCGGTGGGTGAACCAGTCGGCCAGAGCGGCGCTGTTAGGGTGTAGCGCTGTCGTCGGTGATCGCGGGGGCACAACCGTTCGGCATGAAATCCAGTAAGCGAATCCCCAAGAGACCCCTTGAAGCGAAATTGGCATAAATACTGTAATAGTTATGACATTAGTCATTCTGTGTGCCTCCACAGTAGGCAGCAGTATAAATTCGGGGAGATTTATAGCGCATTTATGTTGAAGGCAGACACCCGTCGATAATGAACTGTGTGCTGATACCGAGGAAATACATTTGTCGTAAGGCCGCTGGTTTAATTATGTCTAGATAAAAATAGTGCAAAAGAGCAGTATATGAACTTCACACACATGCTACTTAAATGTGTCGGTTATCTTCTAAGTGAGATGCGATGGTATATCTGTCTGTGCGTGGGGCGGGGGGGGGGGGCAGTAGAACGGAGGCGACGAACGTATCATGAAAGATCAGTGTCGTGCGGCGCCTTTTCATTTGTTCTTCACGCGCGTTCGCACACACAGTAGTCTCATAAGGTTGGATCAATTTGCAGCCTGCCTACAGACATAATATGCCTTAATGCAAGCATGCTTATTAGGCATTGCAAATAGAGGACGTACTTTTCATATCCTTTAAAAGAAACTTGCCGTATTTACCCAATTCCAACGTTTGAAATCGCATGCGCGTTAGATTCAAGTACAAAACTTCAGCTGTATTTTTCTTTTTGGGTCATGTAAAAAAGGTGCGCGTTGGAATTGGGTAAATCGTCTCTCTCTCCTCTCTCTCTCTCTCTCTCTCTCTCCTCTCTCTCTCTCTCTCTCTCTCTCTCTCTCCTCTCTCTCCTCTCTCTCTCTCTCTCTCTCCCTCACACACACACACACACACACACACACACACACACACACACACACACACACACACACACACACACACACACACACACACACACACACACACACACACACACACACACACACACACACACACACACACACACACACACAACGCACGCACGCACGCACGCACGCACGCACGCACGCACGCACGCACGCACGCACACATACGTGCGCACGTACGTACGGCTTTCTCAGAAAGAAAAGCTTCTTAATTGCCGAGAAATTCGTCCTCATCTGGGGTATTAACCCGGGACCCACGCCTTTCCGGGGTGGTCGCTCTACTGTTCACATCTTGACAGATTCGCAGCAAGTGACCCAAACACTTCGAACTCGAAGTAAGCTACCAGCGTATACACGCCAAGCACATCCTGCACCCAGCCGCGCAATTTCAAGAACTATTAGTCCGCGGGCACGAATTAAGTGGATTTCCGGACACACCAATATACCGGGACACTAGCTAGTTTATCAACGAACCTTGCCGCATCAAAGTAAGGAATGACTCGGGGATGACAACACGAAGAAGGCCGCAACGATGACCCTGGATGAGACCCACGAAGGCAAATACCGAGCGAAAGTACAGCGTCAGCGAAAAAATTAGATGAAACTACAAAATACGATGTCTGCAGCCACCTAGATCCGCCCGCCTCTATGAGGTCACGCTTATAAGGTTACAAACGTGAAGTGTCACGTTCACAACCATCCCGGTGCTTCAAAAATATACCCGACAAGGTGTTTTTCATTTACAGATACTGCAGGCTCTTCTCGGGACCATGAAGGAGTGAAAACAACCCAACTGACCCCAACTGCGACTATACTGTCAAACGCAAGCAACGACGGAGCATATCATCTGGTAATACCTGCATGAATCAAGCCGAGCTGTTTTTATGGAAAAAGTCCAACGTACCCTGCCTGACCTACAGCAAGACATGGCGGAGACTACCCACTCGAACATCCACTCGTCAGAGCCAGGCTGAATATGTGGTGCGATGCCTTGCGCACAACGGTCATTCTCTGCCCAGCAATAACGAGCTCACCAGTGTGAGAATATCGCCTGTCTATTAAACATCTTCTGTAAAGATGTGAAAATATATTGGCAATGATCTTGTTAGATTGAATGCCTAGAGCTTCCGAAAAAGCGTACCGTTGAGCAGCTTCGGGCAGCAAGCAAGATTGCGTAATAAAAATGAGGATGCTTCCCCTGTTCTCAGGTTTTAAAAAATGCGCCTGTGTTGGACTCTTCTATATAGAGTGCATGAGGCATCCGTGTAGATGATTTCTTCTTCGTCAAGTATACTTTTGAGGTACACTCAATAAGCCGCTGAGCGTCTATTGCATCGTGAGCTTCATAGTTGTCATGGTCGCCCCGCTTGATGCCACCAGGTGCCCATGCGCGCGCTCTTGATTACAATAAAAGTCACGCGTTCGAAAAAAAAAAAGTATTGTACGTGCTCTATAGGTCATGACGCGTGCTCATATTCTTGTCTCTTGTCACTCACCACCATGCGTATACTATAGATTTCAGCGCACGTGCTATTACGAAAGAAGAGAGAAAGCGCGCGACAGAACCCCGCAACTCCGATTGTACTTGACGGACTCTATAATGAAAAAAATTGCGGCAGTCGATTCGTGAGGAAATATGAGCTCTGTTAATGATTCGATGATTACTTCGAAATGTGTTGCAGGGTCTCTTTCAATATTTGTAATTTAATCGGCCCAGTCTGTGCATCAACGCCAAAAAGCATGATTGTGTGTGTGTGGGGGGGGGGGAGATGGGGGCGTGATCAATCCGTATATCCACTTGTCAGCATCGAGATAAAAAACCGGGGAGGTTCGGACACGAGCGGTTAACAACTTGATAACGAGGGAACCGAATTCTTAAAATGAATTAGTAACAAAGAGTAACCAGAAAAGTCGAGAGTTGTTCGCAAGAGTTGCAATGTGGGCCGGTTGGTGATAATTGATATTGATATGTGGGCTCCAACGCCCCAAAACTACCATATGGTTATGAGAGACGCCGTAGTGGAGGGCTCCGGAAATTTCGACCGCCTGGGGTTCTTTAAACGTGCACCCGAATCTGAGCACACGGCCCTACAACGTTTTCGCCTCATTCGGAAACGGGGCCGCCGCAGCTGGGATTTGAACCCGCGACCTACGGGTCAGCAGCCGAGTGCCTTAGCCATAGACCACCGCGGCGGGGCTCCGGTTGGTGATGCATGTGAAAATATTTGATGTGGCGCGTCCGTGCTTCACTTCGGGCTACATCAAATATTTTCAGGAGAGTTGTCCACCTCGATGGAACAGTACACATTAAGGTGCTCGGCTGCTGACCCAATGGTCGCGGGTTCGATTCCAGTCGTGGCGGTGGCGTTTTGATGAAGGCGATACGGTAGAGCCCCCCCCCCCCCCCCTCGTGTAGTGTGCAAATGTCAGTGCATGTTAAAAAGAAACACCAAATGGTCGAAGTTTCGGGAGCACTCCACTGCGGCGTTTCTCGTAATCATATCGTGGTTTTGGGAAGTAAAACCACAGACATTATTACTGAAGTCCAGAGTTAAACTGAATCGGCCGGTGTGGTGAAATGCTAAAATGGGAAGTGGCAATTTTTTTTTCAGCCATAACGTGGGAGTGCTGTTTGGGCTGGTCGCAATTGAATGATGGGTTTTCTGTGTGCCCACCACGTCCTCGTCTTCAGGCACGAGTCCCATATGTCGGTGAACTCAGTGATGAGTTGACTCACTCGGGCTCACTTAGATCGGGCCGTGAGTCTAAGTGAGTGCAGTTGAGTAATATTTTGGTGAGTGTGGAGTCGAAGTCAGTCCGGTGAGTCGAAAGCGCAAAATATGCTTCTTGAGTGATTCTGAGTGAATTCCACTTTCTTTTGGTCGACCTAAGGTTCTATCTATAGTCATCTTCAACATTTCTATCAGTCTCACCTGGATTCACGTTCATACACCGTTACTTATTACTTAGAGGTGTGAATTACGCAGGGGGTGCCTTGACCACTCTCCCCCCCAACTCTTCCAGAGAATTTGCTGATTATTACATCTTATGATGTTATCTCCTCGAAGAAAAGATGGCCTTACAGGTTTGTAACAGCTGAGAACTTGTTTCATGTCAAGCAGCACCAAGAAGAGCACCGATTACGTGAGACATTGGTGTTAAAAAGCATTGGCACAAGGGTCGAAGAAGCTAATTCTAGGTTGGCGGACTCATGAGTCGACTCGCTCGTACTCACTCAGAGTCAGATCAAGCTGCGAGTCTGAGTCTAAGTGAGTCCGAGGGAGTAATGTTTTGGTGAGTTTGAGTCCGAGGGAGTCCAAAGCTCAAAATATATTACATGAGTGAGTCTGCGTAAGCTCTACAAGTTTTGCCGGCCTATAAGCACGACCAATCACCTGTGTAACACGGGAATGAGCTAGCGTGACATGGGGATTCAGGATCGCTGGATGAGGACATACAATAGACTGATGGTCATGATGGCGAAATTGTTCAAAAGCAAAAAGAACAAAAAACTTGGTTTTGTGCATAAGACTGCGTTTACGTTAAAAGTGAGAGATAACTAAAAATATCGTTAAACCGCGATATCACATCCCACTGACCACTTTTTCCTTCATTGCTGTTGTTTCATGCCACGTTTCAAAGCACGATCAAAGTCACAAATCAAATCTCACTCCGATGCCCATAGTTAAAAATCGTGATATGGCAGCCAGGTACGTCCGTATACCTATTACGTGCGAAGGGCGAACCATTGTAGCTCTCGTGACACACTAAACGCCGTCAGGCAGAGTGTGGCGTGACTCGTCGCTGTTTCTGATTTCCACCTCGCCATATTAGAAATTTCAGGAATCAGGAAGAAAGTCTACAGCGGCTCCTGTATGATCGACGCATGCGCACTCTGAACGACATTTCGTAAGATGACTGCAGCGTCGCGAAAGTACGGGTAACATTGCACACAAGCTAGGGAGCTGCAGGAAGGACTAGGGAGAGTGGATGCAACAACTGGCTACCCGTAAGATAAAGAAAATAAATAA